GCAGGCAGGCAGGCAGGCAGGACTTATCTATGCAGCGGCGGGGACGCCCCCAATCGAAGGTATGTCCTGGCGAGTGCGTGTGTGTGTTTAGGTAGCTACTGTCTCGACCGTCTGCCGGCATCTGTGTGCGTGTGTGTGGAACTTTTCAAAGTTATGCGCATTTCTGCTGACCATTGGAATTCTGCAGCTTTTGTTTTTGCTCTCTCGGACATGGACAAAGGTCGACGGCGGCGGCAGCTGTTGCCCGAACGTTTTGTCTGCCCTGCCCTTCGCTTTTTTGCAGGCGGCGCATCCGCATCCTTGGCGTGCTTGGCAAACGATTGGGGATTAATACTTTGGTGCTGTTCTCTTTTTTTTTTGCCACGGCTTTGGCGCGTCGTTTGGCGCAGTTTATTGAAAAGGTGACACTGCAGTGTCCAGGACATTGCCAAAGTTTAGTCCTTGCCCAGCAGCAAAGTTTAGCGTGTGTTCTGCTTCACATCGTCTAATACCCTTGCAGAAGGTATAATCATTTTCTTACTCAATGTGTCAACTAGCGAAGGATATGCTGTATGATTGATTAGCATCAATTGGCGATTGCGTCCTTCTGTTTCTACACAAATCAGCCTCTCAGCTTAAAAGTTATCCTCGTGAAATTTCGTAATATTGCATATCGTATAGTTTCCATAGAAATGATCGCCCGAAAATTAGGATTTGTTGGAAAACTAGTTTGGAAATTATTTGGGAAGAATCGATTGATAAATCAGGTTTTGTATGGAAAACAGTTCTTGACCAAGCTCAGCAATTAGAAGTGCTTCCAATATATTTGAAAGTGCGTATCAGATAGGACTTTTATATTATATGTCTTAAAGGGTATTGAATCTTCGGCGTGGCGAAGACGGCTGTGCTATCTTGTTTTTTTTTAGTGAGTGCGTGTTTGTGAATCCCGATATTATCGACGTGTAACATATGTGAACATGTCGTTTGACACATTTGTCAGTTGGCTTAAAGTTTGGACTAACCAGTAGGATGCGGCCTTAAAGCCATTTGCTTGGCCAAGTTGGCGTTTTGGCTGCAGAGCTAATTTCAATTGTCGCACACACACCGAGCAAGGCCAAATTGTAAGCCACTTCGCAGCCAATTAGTTGCTTTCAACAGCTTTTCACATACACGCAAACACACACACACTCACACGGCACTCACGCGGCACAGTCTGTTATGCATATACACACATATAGGCAAGCACACGTACGTTGACAAATGACAGGCAGTGTTAACGGTGTTTGGCAGCACTTGTGCGCCTCATTATGTGGCATTTGGGCTAACCGCTTTAATTAGCTCTGCAAGCGGTGCACACACTCACACAGAGTCACACACCCACACACATGCCCATACACATACACAAAATGCATGCATGCACTGGCGCCGGGCTCAAAACTTGCATGTGGTCAGCGGCTGTCGACCCCAAAAGCCACTTGGGTCCGTCGAGTGTTGAGTGCACTGACTAAATGCTACTAATACGTTGTTGCAAGCACCTTCCTGCCACGGCTGTCGTTGACTTTAATTGAGTCACAAATCAAACAATATATACTACAGCACCAAATATACACTCTCTCACACACACGCGCACAATTGCTTGTGCCTCGCTAATTTATTACACAAAGTGTTGCATACTTTCGTGGGCTTAGTCTGCAGGATGTTAATGGCTTGGTCGAGGGGGCACCTGCAGAAGACGACGGCGTTAATTTGCCTGCTAATGAGCCGCATAACACGCGCAGCAGACCTTGCGACAGACGCTGGCGGTATCTCATTATGCCAATTTTAAAGCAGCTGGCGCTGGCAATGCGGTGTATACGTAACTTTGCCCTTTGCCGCTCACATGTCAACTATCCGGAAATGTTTCTTATCGCAATCGACGTATTTGCGTTGGCGCCAGTCGCCGCTGCGAAATATTTTTAAAGAAATTTTGCCAGCGTGTAGAAAAATTATTTGCAAACCGCATAGAACGAAATTTGGTCATCCCACCGGGGAAGGGGCTGCTCGTTGCCCAAGGGTGACAAAGAGACACTGGCTTGTTGCTGTTGTTGTTGCTGCCGTTGCTGCTGTTGCTGCCGGGTTGAAAGTCAGCGTCACAGTTGCTTCCCTAGCTTTCATATTTTGAATACAAATTGCTTTATTTGCGCTGCTGCGCCAATTTGACATACCCCCAGCTACACTGCCACCCCTTCCAGCCCCACACCCCCCGTTCGCTGCTCTTTGTGTTTGCTGTGCCAGTTTCGGTCGACTTCATTGCGAATTTTACATAGATATAAACAAGTGCTCAGGCCATCGCCTACCTTTTTCACTCTGTCGCTGTGTCTGTGCCCTTTTCTTCTCATTCTAATACCCTGTACTCACGTAATTGGGAAGAAGGGTATTATATGTTTGTGCAAAGAATATATGATCTACAGACTTTAAATTTGAATATTTGGCCCTTCAACTATCTCCGAAAATTAAGATTATTTAAAATAAAAGTATCTTACCGCTTTTTCACGAAATTGATAAGTATCAATTTTCAGAAAGTTAGTTTTTTTTACCTCATCTTGGAGGTTATAAGAGCTGAGTTATCGTATAGATCAACAGATTATTTAAGTTTTTTAAGCCTTCCCCGATTATCCTAACTGGCACAATCTGTATTGGTTGAATATCTTTTTTTAAATTTATATAAATATCAGATGGTATGAGGTGGTAAGTCCCTGCTTTAGGTGCGGAGTAGGCGGTTCGAATGTTTGCAATTTCAGCTCGGAGCTGGATGTAGGGTATAATCGATTTGACCACTCCCGGCTACAACAATCTGACATGTTTTTCTCTGGACTATTTCTTTTGCATTTTATTACAAGCCACACACAACGCTTTGATTCGCCAGGGGTTGGTTGTCAGTGCTGCCACGGTATGGCGGGGTGTGCGGTGGGGTTGGCGGCTCTATAGGTAGTTCTGGTTTTGAAAAACAAATTGCTCCCCGGTGAGCGTTTGGCAGCATTTGGCAAAGTTATTTGCATGCCTTTTTCGTCCTGGTTCTCTGCGCTCAAATCTCAAAATACATAATAATTTAATAATATTTGTCAGGCAGATAAATCATCCACAGTTAATATGACAATGACTGACAGCAGAAGCTGCGGCTTTTTAAAATGCAAACAGCACAGAAAAAAAGAGATAATAAAAAATTTGTATCAAGGTAATATGACAACATTGTTGACAAATTGCCTTGTGGCATTTGTGAATGTTTGCAAGCCAATTTTTCTGTTGTTTTTTTTTTTTTGTTTTTATGTGGGGAATAGATTTTAATGTCAAGCGGCTTTACGATCCAGATCTAGATGCCCAGCTCCCTGTCCTGGGGCAACTTTGTTGCAAGCACGCATAAAAATGAGATGCCGAAAAAAAACCCGACACACAAATTAGCGCAGAAACTGAGCCAAAAAGCTGAGCACAGTTTTACGACTTCATATATGCAGATTTTTGACTTGCTGAGGAAGTTATGCGTAGGAAATATGCTTTAATTAGCTGCTGACAACAACAACAGCAACAACAACGTGAACACCAACAACAACTCAAATACGATGTGGGTTAGCATCAACAAAGTAGCGTCAAAACATCCGCTCGCTAATTTTAGCGATCGTCTGAGCAAATCTCTAGCAAATACATAACCCCATCCACACCCGCATCTGTATCTGCATTTGGCATATATATATATATATATATATATGTATTTATTACTGCGGCCTATTCCTCGACCTTTTGGAGCAGCAGCACGTACAGGCGTCTTGTTTTGATTTGTTTGGCGTTTTGTTTATGTGCCACGTCTGGGCCCGGACAATATTTCCAATGGTGTCGAGCAGGTGCCGAGATCGCATTTAAAATAATAATAATAATAATATCTCCCATTGAGTTGCTAAATATAATTATTATTATTATTGGTAGACAGTTGACATTTTTTGTCTTTTATGGGCTCCAAAATTAGTGGGGCCGCATCACAGAGCTTTATGACAAATTAATACAATGGCCGCCCTCCGTTAAGCGAAGGGAAACGTATGTGGCATAGTGCGATTTATGCCAGTATTTATCATTCCCAGCCAAAATCAAATGAAACATTATTACATTATATTTTGCACATTGTGTAGAATATTTGTACGTAGCGGACAACTGGATTCATTCAATTACAATTCGTTGTTTGTCTGCCATTGTTCATTGTTAAATAGAATGTGTGCGACATAAATATTAAACGCAAAACTGAAACATTCAAGTGCCCTGCAATAATAATATATATAATTTACGATCAATAATTTAATATTCTTAAATTTGCACACCAAAAACATAAAAGTTGTTTGAAATATATGTAATTAAATCTGGCTATCATCTATCTTAATTTGGCCTTTTTAAAGGTTTTGCGTGCTTGGCCGATTTAGATAAGGTTTTCGATTCGAACTATCAGCAGTCTTACAGTTGCGATTAAGTTCAGTTGTTATTGATGATAAGTCAGCATAGTTAACTTCCCTGAACATAATATTCTGTATCTGTATTATAGCTAAGCTGTTTATTAACAAATTTATTAACAACTATGAACCAAATCTTCGACCAAACCAGTTGGCCAATGGACAACCGAAATAAAGCACAAACCAAACCATATTTTTCCTTTAAACATGGTTTGGTTCAATGTAAAAACCTTTTGAGGATATGTTAGATGCCAATGTTGGGTATAAATTAAATAAGCGCGCATCTTGCATAAGTAAAATATCAACGGTTCTTCTTAAAATCTTGCTTTTTGAAAATTAAATAAAATGAGCCAAGATTTATGGATGTAGAAAACCATGTTCACAGACCGAGCTCTAAGTTAGGGCTATTATTTAGTTAGTGGATTTTTTTTTTGAGATCTCATTGCATTTTTATCAAGAAACATATGCAAACATTTATACAATTTTTTTGAAATAATAACAATTTATGAAAACCAAACAGCAGCACAGCTTTAATGTAATTTCTTTTTTCAGATATTTTCGAAACCTTCAAAATATATCTATAAAATTAAGTGAAATAATTAAAGGTATGTACACATTAATATTAATAGATTTTAATTCTCATTTTGAATATTCCAAAAATTATTTACGTATTTAAAAATTGTATAATATTCATCGAAACGAGTTACTCAATATTTTCTGAATGCTCGATTGCTTCGAATGCTATTTGACGTTAAGCTAACATATATCGTAAGGGGAAATGGCCAAAACATTGCGTTAACAGCATCGTGGCTGTTAAGTGTTGCCACTGTAGTAGCTAACATGGCAGCGTGACGCTTCTCGGCCTTTGCCAGCCGCAGGGCCATCAGTCGGGGAACGGCCATTGGGGCCGCAGCAACGTGTTGGGGCAGCTGGCCAGGAGCGCGACCGAGTTGTGGCAGCCAATTGGCCAACTGAAAGGCTACCGACTGCTGTAATTGCTGTAATCATTGCTGCGACTGTGACAGAACAGACAAAGTCACATTTGCAGTTGCTCATTTGTCGCTACATCTATGGCCAAAGTTTGGCCATTAAACTCTGCCCAATTGCTGTGATTCATATGCTGTCAGGCAGAGGGCAGAGCCAGATTTTATGACAAACGGAAGACACTTGAGGAAAAGTTTTTGCCGCGTCGCAATAAAATGCGAGGAACCTGTGCGAAATTCAATGAAATTATTGAAATCTATGCGACAGCTGAGGTTCATTTATGGCATCCTTTGAACTATTGATGAGCCGTTTCATACAATTAGCGCTAAATTGCTTGGCTCGAGTGCGTCAAGTGCCAGAGGCCATTTAATGGCCAACTCAAAGATCGCCCATACTCGTCAGCAACGCCCAAGCCCGCCCCCTTCCTGGGCCTTGACAGCATTTTCTTGCCCCTGCCCAATTTGGGCATTATTAATGTGCTCGGCCCTACTCATTGCGCTGCTAATACTTGAAAAATGAACGTAGACAATTTTGCGCACCTTTTTGGGCCGCAGTCTTTTTGGGCTGTAATGAGTTTGTTGCTTTCTATTTTTTCGCCTTCTATTTTTTGTTGTTTTATTTTTGGCAGCCAACATTTGGCACTGGCATTTCAAATGCTCCTCACGTTGCGAGTCCATTGGCGCCGGGGGTTGGAAGTTGCAGCAACTTGACAGCAATGTGAATGATTGAGCGCGTGTCCATCAGAAATGCGTCTAATTGGTTTTTGCCTGCCGCGCAAAATGCGCAGCATAAAAAATAAAAACACAAAAAATAAAAACCAAAATAAGAAAAAAGGGTAAAACCGTCTGCCAAAGGTAATTTTTTGTAATTTGCAATTCGTGTTCCTTCAGTGTTTTCAAGGCGGGGGCAACTAATTTGATTTGCTGCTGACAGATTTGCCCCCTGCCTGAAGGCTGCTCTTTAAAGTTGGCGCAAAGCAAAAGGCCTAACTGCTCTTTGCCTTATCGCGTGGGCCAATAAACTTGGCCAAATGGCCAAACGGCTATCAACAGCTGCGTTTCATAGGCAACATCTCAGCCAGGCAGGACTCGGTTCGCGTTAATGTAATGTAAGTAATTTAGCTCAACCTATGCCAGCCAGCGTTCTCTATCTGTGGGGGAGTTTAATTTACGGCCTAGTCACAGACTCACACACATACAGAGCACTAAACACATTTACGTGTTATTCAATTTTGCAAACTAAACGTAAAAATATCATGTTTCCGGGCCCCAAAACAAACAACAACAGGAAATGCGCCAAGGGGCGGGTTGAGGAGTGTACAAGCAGAAGCAGAAGCAGAAGAAGTTGAACAACAACAACAAACACGGTAGCAGACACTTTCACTTACGCTTCGATCTATGAGTGTGTGTATGTGTGTGTGTTTTGTGAGTGTGCAAAAGTAAATATCAGGTTAATGGATTTGACGCCGCCAGCGTCGCACGCAAAAATTTTCACTTTCACTTGGCATCTGCTGCTGCGGCTGCTGCGATTCAACATTTTCCACTCAATAAATTTTTTTGTAGCTGCGGCAACATTTTCCCACCGATAAGCAATTTGGCCAGGCTCTGGCGCCGGCTCCTTGCCTGATTTTCCACGTTTGCCTCATTTGCTGCGCTCAATATTTCGGCTGATTTCTTGTGTATTTTTTGCTTAGGCCTGCTAAATGGCGCACCTTTTAAGGCTGGCTTTGTCTTAAACGTTGCAAATTGTTAAATGTGCCACAAGAAATTGTTTGCCAAGCTGATGAGCAATGAGATTTGGCCTAGAAGGTGGCACCACTCCGGGAAGGAAAACTTTAGCATGAGACCAATTTAAAGTAGAAATGTCAACTAAGCTTACAAAACAAGGTATCTAGAAGTTCCTTTTGCATGGTTCGACCTACACTTTGATATTTCAACAAAAAATTGGATACTATACAATACATTCAAAATATAATATGAAAAGTTTTATTTAGTATAAATTTTAAGCTGGCGTGCTCGAGGTCAATGTTTGAGATAACGACCAAGAACATCAAGCTCTCAACAGCAAGATTGAACAGGTTGTTTGTAAAGATATTTTAAGAACCACTCGTTTCAATTATCTGCTGACTTTGCTATCGATTTAAGATTGGCACGCCCTTGTCCTCAATCCGAAGTCCACAGCCATAACTACTTGAGAATTATAAGCAACGAAAAGGCGACAAGGGATGACAAAACCAAGCCCTACTGTTATGGTGATAAAGAGCGATGCCCTTCATACAATTAAAAATAGTTTTTTTTTTTGTATATAGATACTTTGAAAACAAAAAATATTGATAGAAAATATATTTATCTAGCTTGAACTATGATGTGAAATGTAAAAATGTATAAATATTTATTTGTAATTATACTTTATTATATATTATTAGTTTAAAACGCAGCTTGCTTGCCTAAACCTTACTTGAATAAGTTAGAATCGCGCAGTATAGCAATATTTGTAATTTAGTTAATTTTTAGGCCAGCTCAATACATATTTAAATGCATACATTCATGTACGTATTAAAATAAACTGAAACAAACATGCATACATACGATTGTAATAGTTGGTAAAAATATTACAGAGATATTTGAAAATAAGCTTAAGATCCCTCAAATTAAGAAATAAATGTTGGAACAGCTTACGCCCATACAACTTTTTTCGCGATTTGTCCATAGTTGCGGGTGGATTTTCCCAAAATCTACAGTAAAAATTTCTGCTTCCTATGGTTTGAGCTGTGCGTTGATCACCAATCAGTCAGTCATTCAGTCAGTCAGGACAAACGGTTTTATATATAGAGATTAATTTTTCAAATGTACTTTTTATATTTTAGATACTTAAATTTATAGCCTAAATCGATGCTCATTTGACTTGAACAGTTCCCAAAATTTTACTAAATGAAACTTCTGAAATTGAAAATAATTTTGATTTGCACTCGTTTTTGATTTCTCACCTTCATTTATTCATGCGAGAAAGACAAATCTCAAATTTGGCGAAATATTCCTTTAGCTCTTGGTCTTGCTTCAAATTTAAAGCCATCTAGTGAACTGATTTTTTATCCATGCCATTAAAAATCTCTTGGCCTCTTATCGAATGGGAATTGGCAACACATTCGCGTGCCAGCTCCCCCTGTCATAAAGACTGATTATGTGTCCGCGTCCACACACTCACACACACTCACAGATTCGTAGAATCGCGGCCAGCGGATGTTTCTCGTATGCAGAGTGGGCGCAAGGTACAAATACAAATCTCATGTGATCTCCGCCCAGTTGCCGCCAAGTCGCTAAGTCGTTTTAATGGCCAATAAAAGCAAAATGTTGTCACTTTTTTCGAATTTGTATAAATTTTCATTGCCCGGGATAAGCCGTGGCTGATGCCGATGCTGATGCTGAAATACTACGTGCAATTTGCCCCAATCCTGTCGAAAGGGCAAAGGGTTGTTGCCGACTGGGCAATGTATTTGTTGTTGTTTACGATGTAGCAAGTAATTTTTTGCAACTTATCGCTTGCAACAGCAGAAACAACAACAACAGGAGTCGACACTTTCGCGCTGTTGTGACTCCGCTTTGCACTTTTCGCTTTCGCCTCTTTATGTTTGCCTCTACTTTGATTTAGTTGCTGCGCCTTTTGCCACGCCCCACGCCCGTATGCCGCCCATCCCAGCTGAACTTGTTTGTGTGTTTGCCAGAGAATTCAATTTGTTTGCCTGTGTGCCGCATGAAAATAAATAAATGAAACGCAAATCGTTTCAAATCGTCGCAAATCGGCATCAGAAGCCAATTTGATAGCCTCAGCTTTAACCGAGCAGCAGCAATTTTATGACTCGCTCGTGGCTAGATTTCCCAGCATTATGTGCTTTTTGATAATAATTTATGTTTATTTACTTAAGCATTTGCAATTTTTCAATTGCCCAACCGATAAGCGGTCTATTTGCTGTCCATTTCCAATTGTGGCCGCATTTTCCATTGCATACTTTAAGGCGATGTCTCTGAGCTTGGCGCCAGAAATTTAAAGCACTTTGACTTGCACATTTAAATTTTTGTATATAATTATAAATTTGAAATTTAATTGGTTTCTAGAAATGTTGAACTTATTAATCGTGCATGCGGAACACCATTTTACCGAACCGAACTCAAAAGCAGGGCATTGATTCGAACCCTCAACCAAACATTTCTTTTTTCGAGCTTAGAGCCTTATTTTGCGTATATTAGATTTGGTGCAAATCTGAAGCGATGCTTCTCATAAAATACGTGGCTCATAAATTCCCTGAAATTTGGGCAAAACTCAATTCACCTTCTAATGAAAGCTGGCTGCTTTTACAATCTCATCAAATGCTTGCCAATATGCCAGCCTTAAAAGAAATGTTATAGCATATCGTTGTTTATGCCTGTGTTGTCGGCATTTTTGCATAATTTTCGTATTATTTCACCTTAGGGCTAAACAGAAAAGCGGAGCAAGGCTGAAGCTGAAGCAGAGCATCCGTGGCATTCGCAGCGCCAAAAAGTTTATTGATGTAATAAATTGTTATTTGCTCAAAAGTTGTGCCCTTTGTTTTTCCACATGGCTGGCAAGGCGCCACCAAAGCAGC